TTTCTTCCCACTGCCATCCCTGAACACACTAGGCATCCCCTGCAGGAAGAGGATGCCACTGTCCAAGTGGCTGCCTTCACCCGAGTTACCAGTTGGCCAAGGGGACCTTGGTGTGTCACCCTTGGCACTGAGGCGAGTGAAGCTCCCGCTCACTGTCCAGCCCTTCAACACATATTCATGACACACCTGCTGCCACCGTGTCAGGCCCTGGGCATGCGGCGGGGACCACGCTCACTGTGACTTGAGAATCATCCGCACCTGCACATTCTTTCCTTCTGTCTTCCGTGGGGACCAGTCCTTTCCCTTCGAGAGCTATTTTTAACGTACATTTGAATTATTTTAAAGAGACACGATTTATTTGAAGTTAAGGGCCTGGCTCCAGAAGAGCTAAGTGGATTGATCATGCACACCAGGAGGAGCATAGGCCTCGTATCTACAAAGAGGCTGAGTTTTTTTTCATGTGACTTAGAAGCAAGGAATCCAGAAATAGTTTGACCCTTGACAGTGTGAATAAAACCATATGTAAATCCACCAGGAGCCCTGCAATGAGGTAAAAAGGGTACGGACTTGGAGCCAGATGACCCAAGTTCAAGGTCAGCTAACTTCTCCGAGCTGCAGCACGCCCAACTATAAATTGGACAAATGGTCCAGACCTGCCCCAGCTCTGAGCCTTTGCCAGAATCACATCTCAGAGGGGCCTGGCAGAGAGCCTGGCACACATCTGACCATTACGTGAATACTCCTGCTACCTTCTGGGGGTTGCTACTGCTACACCTTTGATCTGAAATGGTTGAGAGCCAGACCAGCCCTGTCACTCACCTACAGGGCGGGGACCAGGGATTAAATTCAGGGGCACACAACCACTGAGCCTCACCCCAGCCCTATTTTGTACTTTATTTAGAGACAGGGTCTCACTGAGTTGCTTAGGGCCTCACTGTTGCTGAGTTGGCTTTGAATTCACAATCCTCCTGCTTCAGCCTCCCAAGCTACTGGGATTATAAGCATGCTCCACTGCATCCCAGTTCACCTTCAACTTGTCTTTTTGAGCAAGGTGTTTGATCTCATTGACCCTTGGGTGCCCATCTGCAAAACTGATGGCCACAATACCCACTGTGGGGGCAGTTGGTCTCCCCACAGGTGATACATTCAGTGTAGCACCCACAGCCAACAGAATCTGGTCTATTTACTGAATTATTTAATACATTTTCTCCTGGTTTCAAAAATCACAGTAAAAAAATCACAGGAGAGAGAGAGTACATGGCGTTTTCAGTGTTGAACTTGAAACATGAGTGGCTGCATCTGCTTCTGACCTTCATCCTCACCCTCCCAGCCCCGCACACCCTCTGAGCTAAGAGCTCCCAAGGCAGTGACCACACCAGGTCAGCCCTGTGCCTGGCAAGCCACAGCCCATGCCCTGGTGCCCCAGCGAGGCTCCCCCCCACCCTGTGCTGATGCTATTGGTGACACTCTCTCGGCAGATCCTTCAAGCCCGACTTCATCCTGGTCCGCCAGCACGCCTACAGTATGGCCCTGGGAGAGGACTACCGGAGCCTGGTCATCGGCCTCCAGTACGGAGGGCTGCCAGCCGTCAACTCCCTCTACTCCGTCTACAACTTCTGCAGCAAGCCCTGGGTGGTAGGTGACGGGCCAGGCCCACGTAGCGGGAACAGAGGGGCAGCGGGTGGCCTCCCCGTCTTGAAATGGGCCCATTCACCCCCATGGGGGCTTCCGTGGGGAAAAGTATCTCCTTTAAAGCGTTCTGGAGAGTCCTCTTGAGATTGCTGCCTAACAAATATTACGGGATGGCAAATTACGGTACAGTGCGAGGTCCTAGCATCAATCCCAAAGCGGCAATTTACTGTTCTCAGCATCCCATCATGGCGGGATCACTATTGCTAACAGCAGGCGTCATTTAGTGAGCACTTGCTATAGAACAGAAAACCATGCTACCTGGTAAGGAACCCACCCAGGGTTTCTCAGCCAAGCAGTAGCGGAGACAGGACTTAAAGCCATTGCTTTCCGCCCCGGAGACTTGATTTCTCCCCGTGACTCATTAGTTTCATTCATTCACTTGATTTGTTTGAGCCTCCATCCAAATACCACCAAGACGGCTTCTCCTAGAACAGCCAGCCCCCCACTCCCCCCTCCCTTACTCTGCTTTTTGTCCCCCGCCCC